TGTGTGTGTGTGTGTGTGTGTGTGTGTGTGTGTGTGTGTGTGTGTGTGTGTGTGTGTGTGTGTGTGTGTGTGTGTTTTAAATATTTTCAGATTCTTTGTGCATTGGTCGGCTTTGATTCAGTTTGAGTTGAATGTCACAGCGCTGAAGTTGCTCACATAGGGAGGACATGCAGGGTGATCTGAGCGCTTTGTGATTTCCAGGGCATTACAGATGCATATGTGGTACTGCTGGATAATGTGATAGTAAAGCAACTTTAAACTCAGCACGCTAGTCGCAGAATCTAAACCACTGTTCTGTATCCACACAGAAATCTTTGCATATGAGTAAGAATGTCCGAAAAAAGGAAACTGCAATAAATCCCTTGTTTAAGTAATTATTGAGATGGGTTTTTTTTTAAATAATAGTGCCAGTTTGACTTATGATGGACACTCGTCTGAGTTTGCGTCAGCATATGCAGTTCAGCTTCACATGGCTCATCGGAGGTTTTGACAAAGTTTTGGAGCTTTAGGAGGTTTTGCTTTACGAAGCTTACTGTAAGGACGGGCTACATGTTGTTGACGGTTAGAAATGTGTCTCATTTTCAGTTCAAATTATAGTCTACTTTGCTGAAATCACTTGGTTTTAGAAACGGGCAGAACAGTGCGCGCTTGACTCGGTCTGAGCGCAAAACAGTCAATTTACAGCGTCCCCACACTTCTTTACATAACCTAATGATCACAGATATTTTGACATGTACTCCGGCATGCATATAAACGCGCACCTGTACAGCGGTACCATATGAAAAAAAGTGCAAGTGTTATTTAGAAACAAAGTGAAGAATAACTGAAGTTTCCTTTTTAATCTTTGGGCAATGGACTAATTCTAACAGCAGTTCAGATAGCCGAGTAATACTCCGCTTCTCAAACGGCAAATATACCTGACAGTATATTACAGTAAACATACAGATACACAGTTTAATCTCTCGGAGTTTAAAGCTACGGAATCCTCTTGCTGTCCGCAACATCTCCCCTCCGCAGCCCACACTCAGCATCGCTCTGGCACTTGTTACGCACAGGCGAGGTATGGAGAGTTTTCGGAATCCTTTTGGTTTTAGGGATATAATCGAGTCAGTGGTGATTACGATTATCTTTTTTCAGAAGTGGAAGCTCCACAGTTAGATACAAAGACACGAGAGTCGAATTACAACAGCATCGTTATTACTCCCAAACATGGGATATATATCATTTCTTGATAAAACACATCCCGAATGAAAACCAAGAAGCCGTTTAGAAGAGATCAACATGCGATTCCGTAATGGAAACATTTAACGATTCTTCAAAAAAATATAGTCAATATTTAAAATTATAATGCAAGCACTTTATGCCCTCTGCCTAGGGCTGTTTTGTATGCTCTTTGATCGTTGAATCTCACTTTTTAACGGTCATGATACAATATGAGACTTTCAAAAACGTCCGCTTGTGTCCTCTGCTCAAACTCAGGAAACTGAAGGTAGACGTGAGATGAAAAAAAAATCCGTTAAAGTCAGCGATGTTTCAGCGGACTGCAGCAGCAACCTGTCTACTCTGTGTTCTGCTCTCTCCAAGCATCTTCTGCTTGGTATTCATGACTTGTACGACTGCAAAAAGAGGCTACTTTGAAGGAAAGACTGGCTCTAAACACTGAGTCCTTCCTCGCTTTATCTTGCATTCTGTGTTGCAGAGGTGCAGAGCCGCGAGTAGCCTCTTTCCGTGCGTAATGGTGCAGCGGAGGTAACCTGTACTTTGTGCGTTACGATAAAGGAAGTACATAACTCGTCAAATGTGTGTGTTTATGTCTGAATTCAACTAAAAACTTAAAGCTTTGTGAGATATGAGTCTTCATTTCGACAGGCTAACATTAACAGACACGACGAGAACAAAAGAAAACAGTTTTAAAGCCACATAAACAAAGGAAAGCCTATCCTTCATACAGATTTAAAGCAACTAATGAAACACAGGTGATCTGATCATCAGGCTGTGATAAATGGACAAAAGGCTCAAAATGTTGCAGAGGCTGAAAATATTTTTAGATTTTTGTTTGTTTGTTCGTTTTTTCTAAAGAACGATTTGGAGTCTTTATAATATAAGAATGCATCATCATTCTGAATTGTTTCACTCACATTTTTGACTTTATTTGCAATTTATTTTATTAGTGTGTGTGTTCGTGTATATGTAACAGAAGAGAGCAAAGGGACAGTTTTTTTGCTTGTTGTTTGATACGTGCCGTTGGGGGGCGATATTGATACATCCTTGCTATCTGTCGGACAGATCCCCCTATCTATCTATCTCTCTCTCTCTCTCTCTCTCTCTC